AGTGGAGGCAGCTCGTTAGAAACACCAATGACACAGGAAACCCGTGCTTCCCTAGGGATGGTTGAAAGTGGGTGTGTGGGGGGGTAAACCACAACTTGGAGTGCGTGCTGAGGGTGATGGGCTCTGCAGATGGGAGAGGGAATATAGGGGAGTTAAGTCACAGGGGTATTTGGATCCAAGACAAGTTTCTGTGGGACTAAGCAGTCAAGTCAGGAGGGGACAGCTGACATCCAGAGAGAGCTGGGTGGGCATCGCAGCTGACTGGCGAACCTTCGAACTAGTCTTAGGGAGGAGAGGAGCAACTGTAAGAAGGATGCCAAGACCCAGGGGTGGGTGAAGGTACTGGGAGAAGCCATCAGATCCAGGGAAAGAACCCTTGAGAAGGAAGCTGGTGGGGAGGGTTAACTGGGTCTGCAGAAAAAGCAAGTAGGCTGGGGATGGGACATCAGGGCACAGCTCAGTGGGAGAGTGCTTGTCAGGGCTGCAGGAGGCATTTGACTGCCAGCTGGGAGTGGGGTAGGTGGGGGAGTAGTTGTTCTCAGAGAACAACTGTTCCAGAAGTCAATCTAGAGTATGAGCAGAGAGAAGAGCCAGACCCAGGGAAGAACTGTAGGGAAGGGAAATGACCACATACGGGCTAGAGGCTAAGGGGGGGGGGCAACCCAGGGGAGAGGAGCAACTGGGGGGATTATCTGGATTAAAGCAAGGCACAATTAGATGCAAGGTGAGAAGGGCCGAGGGGAATGGCTGGGAATGCACAGCTGGACACAGGGCAAGGAGGCTGGGGAGCAGATGGCTCCAGGGAGGGGGACATGAGGAGGGCAACTACTGACTCCAGAATGGGGGATGCAGCTGAGGAATGGAGCGGCCACATCTAGGCGGGCAACTGGCTCTCTACCTCTCTTTCTTTGTCGGAGCTCACGGAGTGCAGCCCGGATGAGCTTCCGTTCCTCAAAGTTCGTAGTCTGGTCCAGCTGTAGATGAAACAGTTGCTGCACACCTGGGGCCTGCCCATCCCTACCCTCTGCCAGTCCCCAGCCTACCGGAACTAACATACCATCTTGTCCAGGACGCCTTCATCCTCAATGGCCATCAGCTCCTCGGCATTCAGGGGGCTCCGCCCCTCTGGGGCTTTGTCCACTCGAGTCTGCTCTGTGCCATTAGCTGCTTCCACTGTCACAGAGGGGGGCTCTGCTGGATCTGGCTCCATCTACAGAGTGTGGAGAGGGCATAGGGTTTGCACAGGGATGTGAGTGAAACCTGAATGGGGGAGGATTAGATCCTGGGGCTGCAGCCATAGCACTGGAAATAACCAACAGCCCGCCAGGCCTACTAATGTAGGTTGGCTGTGTTAGTTTCAGGCCCACGGTAGTCAAACTGGAAGCCCTGTATAGAGTTTTTCACATATCCAGAACCCAGAATCCAATTAATCCAAGTTGGTGGCAGTAGTAACAATGGTTTCCATTCAGTAGAAAACATCTGTATAAGCACTGGGGATATTAGTGTCCCTGTCAGAATAGGGGAAACTGAGGCTAGGCCCTCTGTGCGTGTGATATGACCTGAGGGTTGAGCTGCAGTAGTTTAGCTCCTCAACTTGAGTTCTTTCTAATATTTCTTTTCTAGCTTCCCCCCAGGCAAATATTGCTTGCCAAGGGGCTGGACCAGGTCCCAAGGTCTCCTAACAAGGTGGCCGAGTCGGGCTACCCCAAACCAAGATGTCTCGTCTCTAGAGGTCCAGACCACTTCCTTCCCCACCTTGCTGGGTACCATTATCTAAGGGGCACCAGCACTGACCTATCTCCCCCAAGAGAACTCCCTCCCACCTTGCCCCTTGAAGCCAAGGCCCAGCTCAGCTACTACAGCCGTCCCCTCCCAGCAGGGCCTCTGTCTGTCATGAGGGTAGGGAGAGCCAAAGTGGCAGCTGCTCCAGAGAGGCCTGGCCTGGTTGAGGCTGCAGGACAGCCACCAGGGTTAAGAGTCTGGGACCTTCTTGCTCCAATCTTAGAGTACCCGTGCCTAGTCCTCTGTACAGTGAGGTAAACTGAGGCTTGAGGAAGTGTTGGTCTGTCTACAGACACTCAGCAGAGCTGGGCTCAAATCAAGTCCCTCCCACGGGCTGACTTACGAGACTGCTGCTGCGAGAGGGACCCGCAGAGGAGCTGCGGCGGGTGCTAAAGGCAGGCGGGTGGGCCACAGGAGCCCCAGCATCCTCAGCTGCCTGGAAGAGGGCCTCAGGGTCGGCAGCAGCCAGCAACAAGTCGCTGGGTTCTAGCTCAGACTCCAGGTCCGGCAGAAGCGGAACACCCAGCCGCAGGCTCAGTACCTCCACCTGCCTGGTCAGTGTGTCTAGTCGCCGGCTCAGAGCGGCTGTCTCTGCTCGAAGCTCTTCAGCTGCCTGAGCCACTGGCTCTACAGTGGCTAGGGCTGCATCAGCTGCCTGGGTCACCGCAGCCCGGCCCGCTTCAGCTACCGCCTGCAGCTCCTGTAATGCCCGGCTCAACCGTTCCTCAAAGGCCACAGCCATCTCGGGCCCAGGCCCTGGTACTCCTGGCATCGTGCTACCGGGGACTTTTTGGGGTACGATGGTGGGACAGTAGCAGGGGCTGCTGTCTATGCTGGCAGCGTCAGAGTCTTTGCAGCTGGTCTGAGGGCGAAGGCAAGGGCAATGAGCCTGCCCCGCCCCTGCTGGCCTCCCAGTCTGCCACCAGCCAGCTGGAGCAACTGCCCAAATAGAAACCTATTCTGGGCTCCTCTATGGAGGGGACGGAGGGGGATGGGTAGTCTGCCCAAACAGGCACACAGCCTGCTGCATGTCTCAAGGATTACTGAAACCAGAGTCCCATGACCCATAGGTAGAATAATGGAAGCAAGGAGCAAGACACGGGCTGAGACACTGTACATTAGCTGTGAGACTTTGATTTGCTGGGCTCCTGCAAATCTCTGCCCTCATATCACATTGTCTTAGAAAGTTTTGAGCAAGTCAGGGAAATGGAGGCACAAAGAGGTGGGTCTTTAAGCAATCTGCAGGAAAGGGGCTTGGCCCTGGGAGACATGTTCTCTAGCCCAGCCACTGCACAAGTGCATTACGGACACGCCATCTGCTCCCCGCAGCTGGGGAGACAGTTGAGTTGTTAGCACCAAAGTCATCTAACCCTGACACCTTCCATTCACCCGGAGAACCTCATCTGAAACCATCCCTCATGACACCCATCCCAATCTATTGGGTCCTGCTTTGTGGCAAGAAGGCCGCTGTCATTCCCACTTTCTTTCTGATACCCACTAGAAGACCCAAAGCTAGCTCTGCCTGACCACCTCACCTCAGTCAAAGTCCCATTCGGTCTTTCGTACAGCATAGAGGGCACTACCTGGGCAGCCCACTGGGAATCTCTTCCCCATCGGAGCTCCCAGCCAGCTGATCCTGGGCTCGGGAATGAATAATAGAAGGAATACATCGTATTCAGTTCCCGTGGCACCTGCTGGGCCGATGCCTCATTGCCTGATGCCCCCCTGCCTGCCTGTCTTCATCAGTGGTTCTGCTCTGCCTCCACGGCAAAGATGCTAATCAACAATCTCCTAATGGACCAGGCTGAGTTTGCGTGAGCCTGTGATCTGATCTCCATGTTGGGGCTGACGTCCAGTGTCGGGTGGCAACTGGGGTATCAGGGCTGCCATAGGAAGACAGTGGGAGCCCCTACCACCTTCTCCGAGCCTCAGTCTTCACATTTGCTCATGAAGAACGAACTGATCAATTTAGGTACGAGATCAGCAAGTGGACCCAGGCATGGTGGCTCACACCTACAACACTAGCTCTCCGGAGGTGAAGACAAGAGGTTCACTGAGTTTAAGTTCAGCCTTGGCTATGTGCAAAGATCATTGCCAACCCAGGGCACAGGAGACTCCACATTAAACAAACTAAACAACAAAAGGTCAACACATGGGGAAAATGACTTCAGGTATGTCATTGGGTGATACAGTGGTTCAGTCTTAGCCACCAACTACTTGTGGACTATTGGCAGCGATGCTCCTTCTCTGGCCTCGGTGGCTTTGCGTGCACAGTGGCGGAGGAGCATCACAGAGAAAGTCTGCTAGTCCTGCACCCTTAAAGCACTCTCTGGAGCTGGTGAATGGTGAGGCTGGTGGAAACAGGAGGGGCTCACCTTAAAGCTGCAGCCTCCTCGGTTACCAGGGGAGGCATGGCTGAAGGAGGTAACCTGAGTGACACTACCCAGTCGGGTCACAGTCCCAGGGCTGCTGATGTGGCTGATGGTGCTCTTGCCCCCACTGCTGGTGCTGAGAAGACTCGGGGGTGCCCGCAGTCCCAGGGTCAATTCTGGTTGGGGAGAAGGGTTGCTGTTAGGGTCAGGTGGAGTGAGGGCAGTACCAGTCAAGGGAATGACACCCTGGACACTGGACACAGCCCTGGCCTCACATGCAGAACCAGGAGGGAGGGGTTGCAAGGGCTCTACCCTGGCAGTGAGAAGCCTACCTGCTCTCTGGTTGCCTGTGGGCAGCAGCACCCGGCCTGAGGAGGCCTGGCCACGGCCATCCTTGATCTCAATGGTAAATGTAGTCTTCATACTGCCCCCTGGTTCCCCAGTGCCGATGCCCACAGGCAGCGGGGTACTGGGCTCTTCTGAGCAGGGCCTGGGGCCCCCTGCTCTGTTTTCAAGGGACCTGGAAGCCAAGCCCCGCCCCCCAGGGCCCTCCTCTTGAGGGCAGCTCTGAAGCTGGGCCAGGGAATGAGCAAGTTCTCTTTGCTTCTTGTGGGAGGAAATGTCACTGGGACCTCGGGAGGAGGAGTTGCTGGAGGAGGAGGCAGGGGTGGTGCCAATGAAGGAAGAGCCCAGGAGCCTCGTGGGGGTCAGCGAAGCCAGGGCTGTCCGAGGTGGGCCATCCTGGAGCCTGGTAGTCACTGCCGGGGTATCAGACGTGAACTTGCGGACTCGGTCTCTCACGGAGCCAGCCCGTTGGAACTGGGACCGTCCTGTAAGGGGGACCGGCTCTGGAAGAGACACGAAGGCTGTCAGTGACTGGGTGGGATAGGGACTGCCCAGAACTTGGGGATAGTAAATACAGCCAGTACCTCGATTTTGGGTTAGCTGTCGGGGACTGAGCACAGGCAGGGAGCGTTGGCAGGGCTGTGGTTCAGCCAGATCTGGTAGGTTGGTGAGTAGGTGGCAGCCATATGGGGGAAGAGAAAGGAAAGTGGATGGTGGGGTGGCGTCCCGGCCACTTTCATCTCAACACCTCTGCACGCCTCACCATGCCCAGCACCCCCACTGCTGAGGCCGGCCTACTCAGCTGCAACCCTCCTGCAAGCTCCTCCTTTCTCTCCTGCACGGACCCAGGATGACAGACCCAGGATGACGTGCACACTCTTAGGAGCCAGGGGTAAGTTTGGGCCAGAGGAAGGTATCCAGATTCTCCTTACTGATGGGACTAGGGGACAGGACAGCCCCCCCACCCCCCAGCCAGTACTGCCCATAGATCCAGCTGGGTGATGGGTGTACTCCCTTATTGGGGAGAAGAATGTGCCTGAGGCCTGTTGCCTTTCAAGGCTGTGAGGAGGCCTCTGGCCATGGGTGGCAGGGGCGGGAATACCTCAGGGGCAGTGGTGGGGAGTGCCGGGGGAGTGCGGGGACTGCCTGAACCTGCGGAAGCTACAGCTGTTGAAGCATCAGAACCCATCCTACCATCCTACCGGCAGGGAAAGGGAAGCAGGGGCAGGGGAAAGCGGGAGCCTGTAGCAACCTGCACAGGGCTCCTCACCTGTTCTCTTAGTGCTGGAGCAGCCTCTGGTGGGGGCCAAGGTGTTAGAGGGCTCCGTGGGGCCAGGCGGGGGCTGCAAGAGAGACACCACATAGGAAGGGGCTCTCAGACCAAGGACCTCACCTGCCTGGCATCCCTGCCTCTCACCAAACTCACCTTGCTGATGACCGGCTCCTGAGAGCTGGGGGGTGCTGGTGACATGGGGGGCTCAGGGCTGGGAGCTCCTGATGGGTGAGGAAGTGGCTCGGAGCTGTCCAGAGCCTCGGCAGCAGGACACTGGGCTCCAGCAGGCTCTAGGAGAGGCTCGGGGGAAGCAGTGGTGGGTGAACTGTCAGGTGAGGCAGGTGAGCTGGGCGTGCCCCCAGGCGGGGCCCTCAACAGGAGTGTCACTGTGGTCACATCCTGGCTGGTGTCCTCAGGGGCTGGGGCTGGGGTTGGCTCTGGCACGTCTGTCTGCTCTTTCTGTTGCTCTTGCTCTGGTACCTGCAGCGGACCCACAGGACGCAACCAAGGTTTCTCTGACTCCGAGTGCTACCCCCACCCACGGAGGGCCAAGCTGACAGAGCAGGCCATGCAAAGCAGAGGGCCTGGGCATGGCTTCCTGTGGGCACACCTGCACAAGGAAGGCTAGTCAGTGCCAAAGGTGGGTTGACAATGACCAGATCCTAACGTCAACAGTTGGTGATATCAGAAAACTGGGGACTCCTATGCCCAGAGGACTTGAGAGCAGAGTTCTGGCCTCAGACTGGCTAATCAGAGAAAGCCAGTTGTGCAGGACTGGGCAGCTAGCACCCTCTGCTGGCCATTAGTGGAAACTATATGTTTTGACTTCTCTTCCTTACAACCTGAAGAATAGAGATGACAGGGGCCTGGCATGCAGGCTGTGGTGAGGTAAGGATGTGGTGCTCTCTAGCGGGTGAAGGGCAGCACGGAACGTGCTTAATCAGGGGAGATACCAAGACTAGACTTGCATTTCTAGGAGATTCTTTCGGCTGCTGAGCACAGGCAGGGTAGTAGGGGTAGGGGTGGGAAGTAGGAATGGAAGTTGGAGAGGTGCCAGCATATCCATGAGAGTAGCGAAGGGGAAGGAACAGTAACTTGGAGCTGTGTATACAGGCTGGCTTTGGGAGAAAAACCTGAGTTCAAGGTCTGGAGTGGAAGGCACATGCCTGAGTGGCCTGAGAGTATAAAAATTGAACTCCAGGGTTTCCTCAAACACTGGCCAAGGGCCAGCTCCCAGTCAAATGATAGTGTAGCAAAAATGCCCTGTACTACTGGCACCAGGAGGCACAAGACACTGGCTCACCCTCCCTCCATACCCATACTCCTTACCTTACCAGGGTCCAGTCTGTGAGCTGCCGGCCTCCTGCTATCCTCTCGGGAGTCACTACTAGGAAGTCTACTGCACAGTCTCCCAGCCAAGGTGGCAGCTGAAAGAGCAGGGGCAAGTGTCAGGAGGTAACTGAGATGCTGTAGGCAGCAGCTGGTAGGGCAAGGGCGGGTCTAGGCCAGGGCACCTACCCTCAATCTCCTGAGCTCGCACACGGCGGATGGCAGCTCGGATCAGCTTGCGTTCCTCGTACTCACCGGCACTCCGAAGCTGTGGGTGACAGGCAGGCCACAAGAGATAGACTGTGGAGTCTGGGTTTTTATTTACCCTTCCCCTATCCCTTGCCTGCCCTGGGCCTCACCAGTGTGGTCAACTCCTCTACATCATTCATGGACTCCAGCCTCCCTGCCAACCGTGCGAGGGCAGCCTGCTGCTCGGCTTCCCGCTGTTGAGAGCTGCAGAGACACCATGAGCGTAACTACCATTGTATGACAGGGTCTGGAGGATGTGAGCTCAAGGAAAGGATCAGAGGCCTGAACCTTGACAGAGAGACACGGAGCTGTCTGTGTAGAATCTCTGAGCAAACATCGATATGTATACAACTGTGGACACAGGTACTAATGCCACATGCTACCCATACTGCATGGCCACAGTTGGCACTTGGTTCATACCCATAGGTATTCTGTGCATTCCAGTGCTCACGGGCATCAGACATACCTGCCTCCACACGAGCTGACCCCTGGCACCACCTGCACTTGCAAACCCAGCCCCCTCTGCCACTCACTGTAGCCAGTTCTCCTTGTTGTCTTGCCGTTCAGCGCGGAAACGTTTGGATGCCAAAGCCCCCTCGTCTCGTTCTAGTTCCTGCCGCTGCAGCTCCCGGATGGCGGAGCGGATCCGCCGCCGCTCTGCTAGATCTGCCGTGACCTCCAGCTGCAATGCAGGTGGGAGTGAGGGGTAGGGCATCTGTCAGGGGCAGAGGGACTGGCACCAACTGCCCATAGTTCTGCCTAGGACACAATGAGAGACTTGTCTCCAGTCTCTCTACCCTAAGCCTTCCACGTGCCTCCTCCCACTCAGGATCTTTAGGAGAGACCAAGTTCATGACGCCAAAGATCCTGAGGAGCCCACTGTGCACTGTGGTACACAGACCACCTTCTGTGAGTGCAGAGCCAGCAACCACCCACCCAGGTCAAGGGCCAAGCACTCAGGCACTCCTTTCTGTGACTTGATGCCTGCTCTTCTGAGTCATTAACCTTTTAGACTAGGGAGCCACAGGAGGAAGAATGTGGTCACCCTTCTGAGGGTCCCAAGGAAAGGAAGGGTGATTCAAGTAGATGAAGTCCCTTGCTGATCTAGACCCCGCCCCTGTTGGGAAAGATTGGGAAACTGAGGCAGAGGAAGGTGCTGTAGGGTCCTAGTTCTCTGCTCTGCTGAGGGTTAGTTTTCTCCTTTACTGGCTTTGGCCTAGCCCTAACCACCACGAAGAAGTCAAGGCCCAGAATGGGAAGGGCTGGTCCCCTAGAGAGATAAAGATGTCAGCTAGTGCTAGGGTCTACTTAGAGCCCCCAGAGATGTCCACAGAGTGCAGGAACTCTTATCAGCTTCTCAGCCCAGAAGTTCATGGAAAATTGGGGACCTCATAGAAACAGGTTTAGAAAAATGTGCTCCCTCTGTGGTGTGCGGGCAATGCTGGTGCCTTCCCCACACCACTCGACACATCTTATGGTAGAGGCCTGGCTCAGGGCTGACTGACAGAGCAGTGGCAGAGCCACGCCTCCCGCGTGGGTCTAGTATGCAAACAGGAACGAGAAAAGCACACAGTGACTGACTCTCCCTTTCATTCAATCCTCTTCCTAATTGGTCTTCCCTTCTCAGGTGGGGAGCTGGGAGGTGCAGGCAGAGATGAAACTTCCGTAGCTGGTCCAGTTTAGCCAAGAACCAGCTTGTCTTAATCTGAAGAGAGCAGGCAAAGCCTTGAGGGACAGCTCTCCAGATCCACTTTCCTGAGGAGCTATGGAGGGTCAGTCCCTTGCAGCTCAGGCCAGAGCCCCCATCAGGTTCCAGCCTTGGTTCTACAGTCGGGCTATATTCCTTAACTTCTCTGTCACTGCTTCCTAATTTTCCAGATGGAATGAAGGCCTTTGGGACTGGGCAAGAAGAGGAGGAGGGTGCAGTGACGCAGCGTGGCCTCCTCTACATACAAAACACGCACATGCAAAACCATTGCCTCTCCTCTCGGTTCCCATCAGCCAGGAGTAGACGGCGAAGGAAAGACAGAACATACTGGTATATTTATTGAGACCCAAATTACATCAGACCCTGCACTAAATCCCCATTTGTAGTTTCTGTTTGTTTGTTTGTTTGTGACAGGTTTTTTTTTGTGTGTGTGTGTGTGTGTGTGTGTGTGTGTGTGTAGCTCTGGCTGTTCTAGAACTTGCTTTGTAGATCAGGCTGGCCTGGAACTCAGAGATTTGCCTGCCTCTGTCTCCAGAGTTGTTGTTTTTAAAAGATTTATTTGTATTTATGTGTATGCATGTGCATGTGTCTGTATGCGTGTATGCTTCATGTGTATGGGTGCCTGTAGGGGCCAGGCGAGGGCATCAGATCCCCTGGAGCTGGAGTGGTTATGAGCCACCTGATGTGGGTGCTAGAAACCAAATCTGGGTCTTCTGAAGAGCAGCAAATGCTCTAAACTGTTGGGCCTGTCCAGCTCTCTTTTCTACTCTTAATACATTATTTCTATCTGATAAGAGAGAAATGAGTGTCTTGTTCAAAAACTTGAAAGTTTCAATGTAGGTCTCTCTGACAGCAAGGCTCGTCTAAGACTGAAGATGGCTACAACCCTGGAGTCTCTGTGAAGGTGGGAACTTTGAGGTTCAGTATTGGAGACCCCTCTAGCCTGTCTGGAAATGTCAAAGCCTTAGGAGACCTTATCACAACCAAGGGAAAGACGCTTATTTCCCTGAAACATTTGGAGGTTGGTGCCTTAGGGACAGCTGGTTCAGACTGGTCCAGAGGATAAAAGCCCTGAGACACAATGACTAATCCTTTATATCATGGACCCCCGTTTCCAAGCCCCGGGGTGGAGGGAGAATAAGATGGGAAGTTGGACATTTCTTCAACCCCTGGTTATCTCAGTATCTCGATCTGGAAACTGGAATCCTCTCTCTGAATCCCCTAAGTGGATGGGGTGGCCGAGGGATGAACCTCATTCTGCTGACCACTCCCTGGCATGTTCCTTCCTTTTGGGACTGTGGGCAAAGCTCTGACCTGTGTCCCTGTTGTATGTCTTGTGTTCCCCACCCTCTCACACACCAAAGGTCGGATCACAGTGTTCCTACTGTGTCCAGAGTTCCCCACCCTCTCAGTAACCCCCACTGTGTGTGGAGGGGACTGTGAGAGGGAGGGAAGGAAATACAAAGAGCTATTGTCCACCCGGGGGAAGGGGACGGTTTCCGAAACTGCCTAGTGAAATTCTCCTGGGAGGAAAAAGGGTGCTTCCTCCTCCTGCGGGAGGCTGGAGGGGGCGGGACTGGCGGGACTGGCGGGACTGGACCTCTGGCGCTCTCTTGCTGCTGGGGGCGTCCGGCCGACCCAGCGTCTCGGTTAACTTTAGTCTTTCCACCTGCCTAAGAAACTGGACTTACTTAGGTCCTCCCTCAATCCCAGGATCAGAGCTGCCCGCAGTGTTGAGAGCAATGGGGGAACGTCTCGCCAGGGGGCGCTGAAGGCCCGCAGGCTGCGGCCACTAGCGCGGGGCTCGCCCACGCCCCACCCACCCTTCTCCAGCCAGGCGCCGCTGCTAGGAGTCCGGCAGGAAGCCCCCCGCTACCGCCGGCTTTAACGTCCCATCTGCAAAGGAAGGGAGGTTCACAGCACCTAAGCCGCTTCCCAGGTCACCCGGCTAGAAGGCGTGCAGACACGTGGCATGGGGACACGCGGCGTGCTTGTCCCCGGGTACCCCTGTCCCGCGCAGCCCACCATCCCGACCTCAGGAATGTGCGGGAGAGGGGCCGGAAGCAGCTGCGGCTCCCGAGTCAGCTGGGCACAGCTTTCCCATATAAGGCCGGGCCCCCGCGGGGAGGAGCCGGGCTTGGGACGCCCCCGTTCCTGCCACGAGGCCGGAGGGTGGGACCCTCACAGCTCCGGGGCGCAGCAATGGCGGGGGCGGGGCGGTGGAGCCTCAGGGCTGGGGTGGGCCTGGGACCGCGGATCCGGGTCGGGGTTTGGCCTCGCTCGTCCTTTCCTCCCAGGCCTCGGGGCTGGGAGGAAGTGCGTCCGTCAACTACCGCTTCTGTTTCTTCTCTCTAACGCTTTCCCCAGCTCCCAAACTTTGCGTGCGTGGGGTCTGATGCTGGAGAATCCCTGAGAGTGCGTGGACACCCAGCCTGGCTTTCCCTGTGGAAAGTCTGCGACCCTCACAAGGACTCTGACTTTTTGAGGGACGGTGAAGACGGCTGCTGGGCGTCTTTGGAGACCCAACCCCATCTCCTGGCTCTAGGAAGTAGCTGCCCTGAACTCAAGACGAGGTTAAGGTGCTGGCCCCAGGATATACAGGCCAAACTGCCTAGGGGATGTCAAGGCAACTAGGTCAAGTGGTCCCAGCCTCTTTCTCTAGGGGCAAGGATTGCTGGTGGTGTGGGGCATTGTAGAGAAAGCAAATCTCTTACTTTTTTGCCCTGGATAGAGATCAGAGGCTGGGTGGTGGGGCTCTGGCCCCTCTCCCCATGGCCTACCACATGGCCGTGTGTGTAGATGGACACATTACAGGCCGGTGCTGTCGCACTGCCTCTCTGTGCATGGTCATAGGAAGAAGATGGTAAACAGGGATGGAGTGGACTAAACCCAGCCTCTATCCCAAAGTTAGGGCCATATCTTGTTTCATCCCTGTGCTAACACTAGCAACTTATTTATTTATTTATAATTTAAGTGCATTGATGTTTTGCCTGCATGCATGTCTGTGTGAGGGTGTCAGAAGCCCTGGATTGGAGTTACAGACAGGTGTGAGCTGTCATGTGGGTGACTTAGGAATCGAAGCCAGATCCTCTGGAAGAGCAGCCAGTGAATGTTCTTAACTACTGAACTATCTTTCCAGTCACCCCCCACATACACATTTTTTAACAAGTAAAAAACAAAACAAAAACCTCCTGAGGCTTAGAGAAGAAAACAACAGACAAGACATCACAAAACCCATAAGGATCCACAGTCTATTTCTCACTCTGGGTATCCCAAAATCCCCTCTGGAGTTTGGACCTAGTAAAGCTTATAACCTGGAGCGTTTGGGTATGTGATCTCACCACACAGGTGGCAGTATCCTGGCTCTTGGACCATGTGTGGGCATTCTGTAAGATGGTGTACTCAGTACCCTACTGTTCTGCCCTGGTTTATTAATCATTGCTGCTGCCATTATCACTGGGCAGGCTTCCAGGAGTGGGCAGTGCCCAGGCTGCCTTCCCACACCTGCGGCAGCCCATGGGTGAGTCCCCAGAAGTTACTGTTTAATCAGGAGATGACAGTTGGGGGTGGGTAGGGACCAGGTCTCAGCACTGGCCATGGACAGGCACATGCCACAAGGGCCTGTGGATCGGCCAAATGGAACCAACTTGGCGCTGTTTCCGTAACCTCTCCTCCAAACCCACCCTGTTTGTATGCGCTGAAAAGCGCAAAAGCCGTGGCCCTATAGCCCTGGCTTGGCTCTTCCTGCCCCATAGTACAGTCATAGGGCTACTTACCAGTTTTCGGAGGGCTCCCTCATCCAGCCCAGCTAAGGCTTCATCTGCCATCTTGCTGGCCCGTAGCTCCTTAAGTGTGTCAGCTCTCGGTGGCACTCAGGGAATTCTGCAAGAGGCAGACATTAGTTAGATTGCTGGAGCTTGTGGAAATCCCAGTCCCTTGGGTTTTATGCCTGTTTCCCTCTCTAGTCCCTGAGCATTTGTTTCTGTTCTGTACTAACTACCCTGCCATGTGGCTCCTGGCTAGAAACTGTCCTCTGCCCCGGGGTGGTTTGCTGAAAAACTCACTAACCAAGAATAGGTGTTCCTGTTTCAGCCTTACCAGCTTGGCTGCCAGTCTGCCCTGTGGTCTAAGTTGGCATCCTGACCAAGCCCCAAACAAGGAGGGCATGGACCTGGACTGAGAAAGGAATCAGCAAGGCCCACCCAAGCTGTTTACCACCAGGGGGTGCAAGCCGTTCCCCAGCTTCCTGTCACACCCACTCGTCTCCAGGGCTACCCAGCCTACCCCTCTACCTGCCCTCCACAAACTGGGCTTCTGGCTGTGGGCTGAGGCCAAGTCCATCTTTCTGCTCCTGTCACTAATTCGTTCAGGTGTGGAAGCTGCTTGTGTCTTTTGGATTCTCAGAGCCAGACTTCTGTGCATCTCCTCCCCGTGACGCCGACTGGCCTGGCTCTCCTGAGCCAGGTGTCCAGTTCAGCTCACACACTCAGAACTCACCTAAAGTTTGCTTCCCCGGGGGGAAATGCCTTGGGAACTGACCCACCCAACCTCTGGACTGGGCAAAAGGAGAGGGAGAGGGCCAAACGGTCATCACAGGGGGGTCAGTAAAACTCAGACTTAAAGGGCAGGAAGGATCTAATACAAATCGTGGTTATTTCTGTCTTCTGAAGTCCCCTCCCAAAAATGCCGCCAAGACTCCAGGATGTTTGTTTCTTGTCCAATCGCTATCCATCAAAACAGATCCCTAAATCTGGTGACAGTCTTTTTAGCCCGACTCTCTCCTTCCCGGAGCCCCGGAGTCTCTGGAATTTGAGACTCCACGGCCTAGCACACCTAGATACTTAGTTAATATGATGACTGAAATGGCCTCAAGACCCCCACCTCCATTGATTCATCCCGAAATCATCCCTTCTCTCCACAACAGTCACTTAGTGTGAGTCACCCCATCCGGTGAATGGGTCTGGGGGAACCCTAATGTACACTAATTAGAGTTTGAAGAACCCCGTCTGTTAAAGTCACTGCTTCAGCGTGCCAGCCATTCTAGGGTCTTTGCCTCCTGATCTAGCTATTCTGTCTGGGGTAACTCCCCCTCCCCGGTGTCATTTAATGGTCACCCATCTTAGATATTGTGGACATGCTGTGCTTCCTCATGTTGGACAAGGCTGTTCCTAGTCCTAGTATCTGCTCAGAAATTTCTGTCACTGCTTGCCACTGCTTGCCCATGGCTTCATGCTACACAGTTTGAGGTCCTGGAGATTGTTAAAGCCCTGTGGGTGAGGGGTCGGGATCTGGGAAAGCTTCCTCAAGGTATCAGTTCCCCACAGATTAGTGTCTCTGGGGACCGTGGAGCCCTTTCGAGGTCCATAGCTGCCTTCACCAAGGTCTCAGAACCTTAATCCTGTGGTTTGAAGCTCCCAGAATTTGGTTGGGGCTCCCGGACCCGAGAGTTCCAGAATTCCTGTCCTGACACCTAGGTTTCACCACCCCACCCCCCGACTCATCTTGGCTCTGAAGGTCGCCCCAAGATCCTCACACCCACCTCTCAGTCCGGCACGCCCTTTCCGTGCGGGTTCGTGTTTGCTTGGGACCGGCAGATGCAGAGGAGACGGGCGGGCGGGCGGGACGCACCACAGCCCGGGATCCCAGCCGGTTCAGCAACGTCCCCTGGACTCTGCCGCAGACGCCTGTCCCGCGGCGCCAGCCAGCTGGCTGGCCCCGCCCCGACAAGCCGTCCCAGCCAATTCTCAGTTGGGTCCCGCCCCTTCTTGGGTCCTATTGGGGAAATTCAATTTTTGGGTTCCACCCCCACTAAACTCCCGCCCCTCACCGTCCAGGGATTTTGGGTATTGTAGTTTTGAGGATTGCTGCCGCGGTGTCTTTGACCTCCTCGAGTGGGCTTCGGCAGGACGCGGGCTATAAATCGAAGTCCAGGAGAGTGCCACAGGCCGGGCAAATAGCTTGAGATGGGGTAAGCCCTGAGAGGTCTAGACAACCCCTCCCCGCCCTCCTCTTTGTTCTTGAGACTACATCCTTTCTCCGGACTCCACCCACTACTGGCTTGGGAACTCAGGCTTGCTCCGCCAACGCTCACAGAGCGCTTTCGGGACACCTGGTCTTTGCTGTCGCAGGGTAAGTACTGGGTGACCAGCTGCATCTTGACCCTGTATCGAGTCGCCAAGGACCCTCTGAGATGGAATAGGATCAATCATACCGGTAGTACGTCTTCCCCTGTCCATAAAACATGCTCTCCCAAACATTTTAAAGTCTGCCTCTGGGAGCTTCATAGTCCTAAACAGGGTCGATGAACTTCACAATCCTTAGCAAATGGGGTGGGGGAGAGCAGAAGCCCCAAAGAACCAATATTCCCAAGATCAAATAAGAGCTCAGACCCAGTAGAGAAAACCACCTCCAGCGTCCAGCCCTGGAGTCTGTGGAGCCGCCCTACCGGTCTTGGTGAAGACAAAAGTGGGTGGGGCCTAAACTGGGATGGAGCCTGGCCAGATGGAGTCTGAAATCCTGCTTGATAAGTAAAAACTGTAAGTCAAATAAAAACTATAAGGACGCCAATTTATTTATTTTGTGTGTTTCGTGTACCAGATTATAATATCCATAACAACAAATGAGATTTGAATTGTCCCATACATTATACAGATGAGGATAAAAGCCTGTAGGTAATGGAGCGGCAGTTCATACCTCCTAGCCTTGATTCTAATCTGTGCTTCTGACCTCTGTGACGTGGAACTGTGGGAGCTGAGGTAGGGTCCTGTTGTCTACGGAGAGCTCCAGGTCAGATTTCACCAAGACACACCTAAAGAGAGGCCCTGTGTCCATTCCGAGCGTCTTTTCTATGTGCCGTTCATTTCCTCCCACACCTCAAGAGGGAAATGAGACCTGAGACCAAGAGAAAGAAGCCGCTTGCGAGTCAAGCAGAAGTACCCAGCGTGGAGACTGTCGTTCCAAGCCCTCTCTACCTGAGCTGGATACCGGCTTACTCTCCAGAATGAGGTCGAAGGCTCTGCAAGGCCAGATGGGGAGCACTGCAAACCTTGCGTCCCTGGGGACAGACCTTTCCTCCGGACACACCTAAGTCTCGGGATCTGTTTGAGTGGAAGCCGATGGCTCCAGTGAGCTGCCTGCTGGGTGCTAACACCCTGGATGCCTGTTTAGAGCTTATGCTCCCTCGCTCTGACCTAGGCATGGCAAGCCCTGGCCTACCTCCAGTTGACCTACCCCACCTCTTCTTCCTTCTTACAAGGGATGGGCGCCACGCAACGGGGTGACTGGTGGTGGTGATGGTGATCTGGGCATCAGAGGGTAACCCAGGGCAGGTGGCCGGGAACATTATAACTACGAGCAGGGAAGAGTATACACCCTGTGAGAGTGCCCAGCAGGTGCTGTATACCAGATCACCAAGATAACCACTACGCCTGCTTCTACAAGGAGCAAGTCAACCTGCCGGGAGGCAAAGGCACCATCATGGCAGAATGTTGCCCACTGCCAAAGCACCTCTCCTAACCTTGTTGTTTCAAATATGGAAGAAATCTTGGAGGGCTTCTTAGAGGTGGTGGTATACTAAATATTACTGAAGATGAGTACAAAGAAGACTCATCCGATAGAAGGACATTTTCCAAAGTCTGGGAGGCGTGTGAGTGAGAAAAGGAGGTGAAGGGGCTGTGGGTAGGAAATACGGGTAGTGTTGCCAGTGAAGAGCCCTGGGCACCAGAGGAGGAGGAGGAATGAATTTTGAAGGCACCCCAGAGGCCTGAATTTCTATCTGCTCAGTTTATAAAAAGGCAGTGCTGACTGACTGGCTCTCAGTCCTTCAAAGGGCTATAACAGGAAGGCTCTGGATTCCTCCCCATCCAGTCCTGTCCTGGCAGAGTTAGGGCGGAGTGGCTGGAACAGCTCACGGGCCAAGGGTAATATTTTTCTCCAAAGCCCAAGTCCAAAAATGATGATTTTTACCAAGCTGGCAGCATTGGTTCCCTGACTCACTCTGGGTTCCTCCCCACC